CAAGCCCTACTTTCTCAGGGAGGATTGTAGTTGGCAAGTGAAGTGCTAGCTCGCTTAACAGGTCCACTTCTAGGATTTTTCGGACTTTATCTTTTGGCCATGATATGTTATTTTTTTTAATATATATATAAAATATATACACATATTTGAGTATTCTTAATCAATCAATCATTAAAATTATAATGAATTTAAATAAAATTTCAAATTCATACTATCTTATTCAGTTCAAATTTGAATTTATAGTAACATAAATGAACAGTCTTATTGAAACTCAGTACAGCTGTTACTCAATAAGTTGTTACCATGACTTGAACCTTTGACATTCTGAACTAATAAGATAGACTGAAATTATTAGAATATGATAATTTAATTGCTTTGAAATACAGAATGAATTTATCAACCAAAAATATTTGTTTATTTTTTCTAATTCTGCTTTATTCACCACTTAATACTCCAATATTTATTATTTAATGATGTAAACTTTCTTTTAATTCATATGAAGCATTCATGAATAAATTTTGTGTAAAATCACTAAATGTAAATTCCCTTACGATAAACATAGCTCATTTATGGTTCTTAGTTAAAGTTAAAATATTTATTATTCTTATTATCCACTTTTAGTTCTTTCTTTATTTTATATTTTGTTTCTTTGCCCCCTTCTATAATTAACTGATGACTATTTATGTCTTATTTAGGAATGTGATTTAGTATCTTAAACAAACTTCCTGGCTATTTATCTTTCATCCCTGACTATAATACTTGTCTTCTTTTAAATTTAAACTGTATTAAATCAATACATTTACATTAATAAAATGAAATTGATTCTTCTGCCAATCACAAGTATTGCAGTCTCAAGTAGAACGATTAACATTTATTTCCAATTATCAGTAAAACGGAATAACTATCTGTATGCAATTCTTACAATCTTTAAATATTTCCAATTTATAATTGGAAATCTATTTTTATGGAGTTTATACATTAATTTTTTTGATATCTTAATTAAATAATCAATAAAAATTTGAAATACACAACTCAAATAAAAATATAATTCTTCTAAATAGGTTGGAGCATAATTATCGACCTCTCCAATTTGAAAATTGTTATTGATTTGAAGTTTTCTTCTTATGAATGTCTTTCAAATGCCTATGAACTTATTTTTATCCCCTTTTGTTTGCCTAATGAATGAACTGATTCATGAAAAAGGGAATTATTCATTTTCTTAATTGTTCAATTTCTTATGTTTATTTTCTTTCTTTTTGCTGAGGTGTCATTCTTAATATCTATAGATCATATATGATATCTATAAACCAATTATACTTTAATAGTGATGATTCATTGGAAGTTTACAATTAAATAAGTTTTTCATTAGATTGTTCACAATTATTAATGGAATTTTCATTACAAAATAAATTTAATTAATAATATGAGTTTATTACTCTCATTATCATTTCTGAAATCAATCCATTCTTTATTTCTGAATTCTTCAAAAGTCTAGTTTTGAATATTTTTGCTTGTTTAATAGAATGATATTTGATCAAAATTAACAAATAATTAAAAATAATTGATCATTAAATTCTTTTATATATTATTCAAATTAATTTCAATAAATAAATTATAGTCAAATTTTGGAGAGTTAATTCATTAATTTTCATAGTTTTTCACAATCTCCTTACTTTATTATCAATTATCAATAATAACTCAAATGATAAAAGATTAAAAAATAACAATTAAATTAATTATGTAACAACAATAGTATACAATAAAAAATACTTAATTCATATTTGTATCTAATCAATAATTCAATTAATATAAAATTTTTATAAAATCAATTTTATCAACTAATATTTTTTAAATATAAAAACCTATATAAATTTTTTGACTTTTTTGTAAAACAAATTTTAGAAAAAATTAAAGTTCTCCTATTTATCTAATCTATTTTAAAAAATTTAATAATACTTTAATCTATTTAGATATCATAAATTTTATTCATCAAAACTGTCTAGATGAGTAAAAATAAATATTGCTAGAACATTATATTAAATTTAATTTATAACAGCAAATCCTCAATATAAATACAAAATAAATTTGATTAAAATTCATCAATATTTAAAAAATGATAATAATGCTTCTAGTAATGAAAGTAGCCTGCATATTTCCAAATACGTTATTCTCTATAGATCAAGAATATTCATTGTACCCAACTGTGGGAGAAATTTATGAATATTATTTGGAGAAGTTTATATCAGAAACTTAATTAATGTGCAAAACTTAACCTTAAGTTCCAAATGTGCAAGTAATAAATTAATGCGAAGAAATATACTCAACATAAGGAAATTGTAAAATATTAAGAATATTATTGTAGAATTTATATCTATATCATCAAACAATACTCATTTTGGTACTTTGACTAATAATAATGAAGTAATTATTTATGAATGGAAAAATTCAATGATTTAATAGATTGGATCATCTATAAAAATTAATTCTTCATTTAATTGTTTTAATATCGATTTATCTTCATATTTTTCAATTTTAGTAGATTGCTATTACAACAATGAATTTATTTTAATTCAATTTATTGATGGATAATTAATAGATGTTTATCATATATAATCATCTGTACCTACTTAAACTAAAATATAATCAATTATTAATGAAACAAATCCTTTTATTGTATATGCCTAATATTTTTAGAATTATTCAATACTTACACTATTTTCATCAAATTTTTGTAATTAAAGTAGCTTAAATTACTAATTTGTCGATTTTGATATTACAATTACAATAAATCCTCATATTTATGCGATTACTTCACAAGAGATTTTTTAATTATCAATATCACCAAATTCTCAATTTAATTAGATTAGTAATTTTAGTTAGGATGGTATGAGTAATTTTAATACTATTAATGTTTATTACAATTTTCAAAGTTACTCTTAATGTGATCAAATATATTTAATAGATTCAAATGGTTAGATTGCTCCATTCTTATAATGTGAAAATTAAATAACATATTTAATTAATGATCTATTTATTGATAGAGAATATTCTTAAATTTAGAAGATACTCTAAAGTAGTCTATTTATAATATATTAATTTATTGATACGATAATTATTCTATAATAATAGGCAACCTCATACTACGAATATACTCTTTAAAATTAAGGTAATTCACTATTATATTTCAATTCTGATAATGAATTATTTTCATTTAATCAAGAGATCATAGTTTATAAAATCTCAATAGCTTCCTTGTAAGTCAACTTAACTAATTTAGAAATTGCAGGAAATAATTATACATTTTCACTTTATTGTAAATATTTTGAACAATTCATATAATTTAAATTTTATCTTTAAGTATTAGCTTAGAATGATACAAATATATATGTAATGTTTAATTAAGATTTCACATAATATTAAACTTCATTTAAATTATCAGTTCAAAATAGTTTTTTGAGTTTTTCAGGATAACTATTACAATATTAGTTAAATCCATAAGACATACCTTTAAAATTTACATTAAATGCTTAACAAAAAGTTTGTGAAAGTAGTTAAAATTATTAGTTAGTATAATTATTATCTCTTTACGGACAAAAATACTATTTAATAGGATATATTAATTAGTCACTTTATATATTGTAAAGCAGTCAAATTTGCTAAATGAATCTATTAAATTCAATTAACATCACTATAAATGCAAGTTCTTTATAAGTTGCTTATAGCATTTATCCTAAAATGATCATAATTGGACTGAGAGCAAATAATGCAATATATTTGTTTTAATACTTTGATGATACCAAGAACATAATAAATTATTAAAATTTTACTTTTTAATAAAACTTCTCAGATTATTTAGTAACATATAATAGTATTATAATTCTATTTCCAAATCAAGAGATTCAAATACTAACATTAAATTTTACAAATACATTTACTCTAAATTAATAGTCAATTAATATATTGTTCAAAAACATTCTGTTCAATCCTTAATAAATAATTGTAAATACATAATCATAATCATCTATTTTATATATCAATAATATTAATGAAGTCATCATAATATCAATAGATTAAAGTAGTATTCCAATACCAATTTCTTTGATGCAAATCAATTTTCCAATTAAACAGATAAACTTAGTAGGTATTTAATTGATATTTTCATATCTATGTAATAATCAATAGAATATTTGCTTCTAAGTTTGGAATGTGTAAAATTTACCAAAATACTATTATGTAAAGAATCTATATAGTGTTAAATTTTTGAATCAAATGATTTAATCTGATAATCTATACTTATATATAACATTTAGTAATTATACTGTTTATGCTTATAATCCTCAATTACCATATCATATGAGTTTAATATATAAATTAGAATTAACATCACCAATTATTTGCACTTAGGCAATTTAAGACGTTTAACATCATTATGAGCCTGTAGACTTATATATTTATTCAATAATACTGGTTTCAGACAACAGTGTTTATTAACTTTATTTATACTAACAATTTGAAATATCTGTGGAATATTACAATGAAGACTTTAACAATTCAATAAGTTACCCATAATTTATTTATAATTATAGTGTAACATCAGGATTAAATCAAACAGCTTTTTAATAGACCCCTAATTAAAGTATTATTTTATATTCAAATTACACAATATTTTTGATTTAAAGAAATTTATCATTTAATTTAAGTAAAGATTATATAATCCCAAATACTAAATTGATCTCTTATCCAATGAATTTATTTATAGATAGATAAGTTGAATATTGCAATTTAACTCGAAGCAAATATTGTTATTTAACTTAATTTTCTCATTAGACTAATAACATTTCTAATTTTCAGAATTTTTACTTAATGACTTAAATAAATAATGAATTTTTTGCATTATAGAATAACTTTTACTTATAAATAGTAAATATTGATTTAAATAATCTATCGAAAATAAATTATTCATATCTAAATTTTAGTACATGTTTACAATCAACATCATATATTTACTAATTATATTCAATTTGTGAAAATAATACTGCATAGTATTTACTCAATTTTACATTAAACTCTTCAGGTACAATAATATAACTTGAAACTACTTAACTTCCATAAAGAGTAAACATTACCAAAATAAGCAGTGTATTAAACCAAATTTTTATATTATCTAATCAATAAGAATTTTATTGGCTTAATTAATCTAACAATACCTTATAAATGAAAATTATTAGTAGTTGCCAAGATTATTCTATTGCATTAATTCCAAAAGTTAATGAAGATATTTAATAAGATAAAATCATTATTTTCTACTATAATGATTATTTTGTATATTATAAAATTATGGTAATTTAAGATTAAAGAATAAATTTTTATAAATAGATTAATGTTTACATTAATTTTTGCGATATATCGTAATTATGCTATCAACATTAAATACAATATTTTTAAATTCTAATTTTATAAATATATTCTCACCGAGCAATTATACTTTTGAATGATATATATTTTAGCTACATCATTTATTTACGAATAGAAAAATTTTCATTATAAAGTTAAAGCAATTAAAATGGCACAATTATTGGAACTATTCCAAATTATGGTTCTTTATAGATTAGTGCTAATTCTTTTTATTAAGATGGAGTTTTGATGCAACAATTTACATAGAATAACTTAAGTTAATTTATAGTTGGAGTATATTATTTGAATAGTCTCTTAGATAAAAATTTGATGCAACCCATTTTGATGCAAGGTTCATTTAATACTACAAACCCAAATTATGCAATGATTATAAATAAAAATTATCAAAATGGAACTTCACTATATTTTTATAACTAATCGATATATAATTACCCAATAAGTATTTGGAATATCACATGTATTTTGAATAGCCACACATATCATGAAATTAACGTTTAAATATGTTGCTAAAATGAATTTTCAAACGGGAATTATAACATTACATTCTACCCCCATTATTTAGAATAATCCAGTAAAAGCTCAATATATGCTTTGATATCAATTATTGGTTTGCTTCTATTGTATTTTTACATTAAAGTTCAACATAAGACAAAGAATTTAGGATATATTAAATCAGAAATTGAATTATGATAAATTTTAAATAAATTATAAAAAATGATACATAATTATTTTATTATAAAATATAAATGCATCAGTTATTAATTATTAATTAAGATTAAAGTTCTATATTATAAATTAACAACATGTTTTTTTTGTTATGAACAATATAAGAAAGTATTCTATTTGTTAATTATTAATGGAAATCCCTAAGATAATATTTGAAGATCAAAATTATAACAAAGATCATACTATTATTATTAGAATTGAAACAATCTTAAGAAGCAATTGAAAACAATACCAATACATTAGGAGCTTGAACATAATTCAACAGTTGCTAGTATTTTCTACAATAAAAGTATTTCAATTAAAATATATCATATAGATTATGAATTAATGCTGATTACTTTTATTAAAGAAATGTTACATAAATTTATTTATTTATGGAATAGGTCATGCATTCTAAAGATATGATTTGACTATTTAGATAAATCAATACAATTATTATTTCTATTTAATATATTCTATGGGAATTAATTTAATTTTGACATTAAATAAGCTGAACTAATATATAAAGGCTATAATAAAGAAGTTTAGTTAAATAAAAATGATGATAAATTATGTTTCAGAATAAGTAACTTTAATAAATCATATTTTCAAATCTTAAGAAATTTATAGTTCATTAATTCTCATAAATTTTTCTATCATCTAATTTAGACTATCAATTGTTAAATTTTTGGAGATTTTTAAATCAGGAAATAAATTAATTCGTCTTATAAGATCTAAAGGTAAATGATCTTAATTTAAAACTCAAATCTCTTACTGGATTGTTAATTCTGTTCAAGTTGATTATTTATGTTATACCTAAAAATAAATTGAAATCTAATCAATTATCTATATATACCTTAATAAAATGGACTTCATACTTTTTAAATCGCATTTAAGTGTTGCGTAAAAGGAGATTAAAAAAAATGAGATATAAATTGTTAACTTCTGATTGTATAATTCTTAATTTATGTACTAAAACATTATCCAAAAAAAAAAATAATTACGTCATCCATTTTTAATTATTACTGGTATAAATCAACCTTAATAGAAAAAAAAATAATAATTAAAGCATCAATATAGCTTATAAATCAATAATAAGCCAAAATTTCCTCTAATATTTGCACCAACTAATATTAATTCTTTCTTATATTTTTAATTTCAATTTAATTATTTAAACTTTCTTTTACCATAATTAAATATTTTTTTAAAATAATCTCCAATGCAAAATGCTTCTTATTAATATATGATTGAGGAATTCTTATTAATTTATCAAATGATTATGATAATTTTTCTTCAGTCTACGACAATATATAATCTTCTTCTCGCATGAAAAATGGAATATATAATCTGCAAGAAGATTAACAAATAATAAAAATACCACAAACAGAATATAGGAGTCATTAACCAGTTGCAAAAAGTTAAGAAGTTTTTGAATAAAAATGCAACAAATAACTTAGATTCCAATAATTTAAAATTGTAAATAGAAGTTTACTATTTTGCGTAAAAAAAAAAAAAAGGTTTATAACTAATAGGAATTGAATGAAGAATCTTCCTTTAAGACTTATTAAATCTATTTCTAAAAATTAAAGTAGAACTGATTGAAGATATATTTAAGCATAATGACCTTAATTGCTTTACATTAAATAGAAAAGATAAGCCCTTTATTCTAATAAAATGAAAATTATTCTGATAATTAATGATGAGCTTATTGGATGATTAATATGATTTATCAAATTTATTTAGAAAAAAATAGAAAAATATATTTCCTGTTAAAGTAAAAGGCAAAAAAAATTTAATTAATTCAAAATTAAAAGGAACCAAGAGATTATTCATGCACATCAAGTCACTAAATACTAAACATTGATTCTTAAGGCAGTAAATTTTTTTTGGTAAAATAATTTTGTTAAGTTCCAACTAACTACAAGTAAATTCTTTACTTGAATACATATAATATCTTTCTTTAGAATAAATTGTATTAATAATTTATTCTTCAAATTACACCTTGAAACATTTTGCAGAAATAATTTTTAACAAAAACTATATTATCAGGATATTAATGTTAATTTATATTTCTAAATTAAATATCTATTCTATTTAGTCAATAAATGATCAAAATGTTTCAACCTAATTGAGTTTATTAATCTTGTATAATTACTCAGTAGTTAAATTAATATAACTTTAGCTGTAAAGTCAATATCCTTATCTAAATTATCAATATCATTTAAAATTTAGACTTTCACATTTTTTTTAGCACTTATTGATAGGTTAAAGAAAAAATTTAAACTTTCTTTTATTCTTCTTATCCTACAATTTTTCGTAAATGGGCGGCACAATATCGATGTTTAGCTTCATTATTAAACTCAAAAGTTAAGTCTTTTACCTTAAATTAAATAATTTGTTAATTAGAAAATGAATATTGTAATTTTTTAGTCAAGAAACAATCATAATGATTTTGTTTAATTTTTTAGATCTTGTTAACTTGGCATGCAAGGTCTTGTGGAGCCGTAATAGTTAAATATATTAGGTAGCTGCCACAGGACTCTAAAAAATTTGGTGAGATTTCTTGGACCTCTAAAAATATGTAATACTCTATCATGATAAAAATTGTAATGAATTTTCTATAATCTTCTAGAATTATCTAAAAAAAGAGATAAAAATTAAAAATTTGAGGCTTTGTACTTAGGGTTCTAGCACTTTATCTCTAATTATTACCCCGAATGTTCCTTCCTAAAACTTTTATGATTCCAAACGCTAGTTGATTTGGATTTATCACAATTATTATTATTATAATTGAAACAAAATCATAAGGGAAGTCAACATCATTCAAATTTGATAATATTTTCTTACAATTAAAATGGATGCAATTCTTGTGAAAGGTAATTTATTTTGCGAACAAAAGAAGGTTACCTCAAGATGCCTCAGAGGGCTGATTAAATTTCAGTTGATGTAGAAGAGTGGATGCAAAATCGTCCTTAGAATATTCAAATAATTATACTTTCCAACAATGATTTGGAATTTTTAATATGCCAATTTGAAGTTCATACATCAATATATATATAAAAATGATAACTTTTATATCAATATCTTTATATTTTAACTTTTGTATTTTTTAAAACAAGTATCCTCAACAGTAAGCAATCTTATAGAGGAACTAGAGGAGAAAAAAGAATAAACAGCTTTTACAAGGAACATTTCTCTAGTAAATCATAAGTAAAACAATGGCAATTATAAAAAGAACCAAAACCAATCTTAAACAAACCCATTAATATCACTTGAAATTTAAATGATTAATTTTTATATTCTAAAAGAACATACAAAGAAATAATTAATTATAGCTTAATTACAATCTTTATCAATATTTATAATTTTTGGAATTTTTATTGTTTAGAGTTGAGATCTGTAAAAAAAATTCAATAATTTTTTTTTGATAAAGATCATGAATTGCACTTACCATATTCAAAATTAAGTATCATTAATATGTACAGCTCCCCACAAATGTTAATGTTAAAGGAAACTGTGCGCTGAATGCCAATACTAGCATAAAGTGGATTTTAAATATACAATTCCAATTAAAATATTTCGAGAAATGGCTATCAAGAAATTATCAGAATCACTACTTGATCAGACATCTGAATTAACCAAATAGAGAATGTATTTTAAATAAGTACTATCACAAACCGAAGGAATGATGAAAAAAATTTGGGAAGAGTTCGCAGAATCAATAAAATTAATATATGATTTGATCGAACAGAAAAATAAATCTTACTTTGATCTTTTGAAAGAAAACCAGAATCTATCGGAATCCTCCTATTCTGATTTAGAAAAATTAGTATAAATTGTAGAAGGAAAAACATTAAATGATTGGACTGTTTAGCAGAATTCTTACTTGATCGAGTTGGATAAGGCAAAGAGATGGTGGTACTAAGAAGTTATGACTTTTATTGAAAAGTAGAATGAAGGAATGAAAAAAAATTTATCATTAATTAAGTAAGAGATAAAATTTATACTAGGATTAATCCTTATCCAAAAGAAGGCCAAGTTTATTAAAGAAAAGAAGATCTTTATGAAATTTTAGCCGGCATACAGGATATTGATGGATCAATTTTCAATATGATTATTGAAATAATGAGAAAAGAGAAAATTTCAGATCTCCTTGAATTTCTTTCAAAGACAGACAATTTAAAGTTTCACCAATCAAAGATTAATAATTAAGATAAAATATTTGATATTACGAATAATTTGAGAAATATTTAGGATCATCATTTTAGTAAAAATGACTATTCCCAGGAAATTTAACAAGAGGAAAGATAAGCTTTAACAAACAGGATAGCATAGAATAGAGGGATTATTGAATTTTTAAAATTTTTAGTTCACCTTACAGCTTTCGATTCAAAATTTATTTAAAGTGGATCCAATGCACTCAATTTATTAGTAGGTATGAAGGTTGATCTTTCAAGCTAATGCTTTGAAAATATCAGAATCAAAAATACTTCTTTAATAGGAGCTAATTTAGTCAGATGTAATTTGAGTGGATCTGAATTTGATAANACCAAAACCAATCTTAAACAAACCCATTAATATCACTTGAAATTTAAATGATTAATTTTTATATTCTAAAAGAACATACAAAGAAATAATTAATTATAGCTTAATTACAATCTTTATCAATATTTATAATTTTTGGAATTTTTATTGTTTAGAGTTGAGATCTGTAAAAAAAATTCAATAATTTTTTTTTGATAAAGATCATGAATTGCACTTACCATATTCAAAATTAAGTATCATTAATATGTACAGCTCCCCACAAATGTTAATGTTAAAGGAAACTGTGCGCTGAATGCCAATACTAGCATAAAGTGGATTTTAAATATACAATTCCAATTAAAATATTTCGAGAAATGGCTATCAAGAAATTATCAGAATCACTACTTGATCAGACATCTGAATTAACCAAATAGAGAATGTATTTTAAATAAGTACTATCACAAACCGAAGGAATGATGAAAAAAATTTGGGAAGAGTTCGCAGAATCAATAAAATTAATATATGATTTGATCGAACAGAAAAATAAATCTTACTTTGATCTTTTGAAAGAAAACCAGAATCTATCGGAATCCTCCTATTCTGATTTAGAAAAATTAGTATAAATTGTAGAAGGAAAAACATTAAATGATTGGACTGTTTAGCAGAATTCTTACTTGATCGAGTTGGATAAGGCAAAGAGATGGTGGTACTAAGAAGTTATGACTTTTATTGAAAAGTAGAATGAAGGAATGAAAAAAAATTTATCATTAATTAAGTAAGAGATAAAATTTATACTAGGATTAATCCTTATCCAAAAGAAGGCCAAGTTTATTAAAGAAAAGAAGATCTTTATGAAATTTTAGCCGGCATACAGGATATTGATGGATCAATTTTCAATATGATTATTGAAATAATGAGAAAAGAGAAAATTTCAGATCTCCTTGAATTTCTTTCAAAGACAGACAATTTAAAGTTTCACCAATCAAAGATTAATAATTAAGATAAAATATTTGATATTACGAATAATTTGAGAAATATTTAGGATCATCATTTTAGTAAAAATGACTATTCCCAGGAAATTTAACAAGAGGAAAGATAAGCTTTAACAAACAGGATAGCATAGAATAGAGGGATTATTGAATTTTTAAAATTTTTAGTTCACCTTACAGCTTTCGATTCAAAATTTATTTAAAGTGGATCCAATGCACTCAATTTATTAGTAGGTATGAAGGTTGATCTTTCAAGCTAATGCTTTGAAAATATCAGAATCAAAAATACTTCTTTAATAGGAGCTAATTTAGTCAGATGTAATTTGAGTGGATCTGAATTTGATAATGTGGAGATTAGTGGAGTTAATTTAAATGGAGCAGTATTGTTGAATTGTAAATGGAAGAAAATTAAAATAAATGAATTGAATAAATTGGATGGCCATACTGGTGCTGTCTGGTCAGTCTGTATCTCTCCTGATGGAAAAATAGTAGCATCTGGAAGCTATGATAAGTCTATCCGTTTATGGGATATAAAGACAGGATAATAAAAAGCCAAATTAGTTGGTCATACTGGTACTGTCTGGTCAGTATGCATCTCTCCTGATGGTAACACATTAGCTTCTGGTAGCTAGGATAATTCTATCCGTCTATGGGATTTTAAGACAGGACAGTAAAAAGGCTAATTGAATGGTCATACAAGTACAGTCTTATCTTTATGCTTCTCTCCGGATGGTACTACATTAGCATCAAGTAGTGGAGATAACTCTATCCGTTTATGGGATATGAAGACAGGATAATAAATAGCCAAACTAGAGGGCCATTATAGTACTGTTTACTCAGTAAGCTTCTCTCCTGATGGTACTACTTTAGCATCTGGTGGTTGGGATAGCTCTATCCGTTTGTGGGATGTAAAGACAGGATAATAAAAAGCTAAATTAGATGGTCATATTAGTATTGTCTACTCAGTAAGCTTCTCTCCTGATGGTACTACTTTGGCATCTAGTGGTTGGGACTGCTCTATCCGTTTATGGGATATGAAAACAGGAGAATAAATAGCCAAAATAGATGGCCATACTAGGGAAGTTCTATCAATATGTTTCTCTCCTGATGGTACTTTATTAGCATCTTGTAGTGATGATAACTCAATTCGTTTATGGGATTTCAAAACAAGAAAATTTAAAACCGAATTGGAGGGCCATACTAGTTGGATTCAATCAGTGTGCTTTTCTCCTGATGGTAATTAATTAGCATCTGGTAGCAACGATAACTCTATCCGCTTATGGGATGTTTAGACAGAAAAATAAAAAGCAGAAATTGATAGTCATAATAATTGGTCAGTATTTTACTCTCCTGATGGTACTATAATAGCATCGAGTAGCTATGATAAGTCTATCCGTTTATGGAATGTCAGAACAGGAATGGAAATTCAGCCCTTCGATAATAGATACTTAGATATTCTGGCATAGTTTAAATAACCGCTATTATAAAAAAATTCTCTTCCAAATGGTTGTATTTACTTAAATATTATTTAGTTAAAACTCATATTAATACTCTCCTTATATCCTAAACAACAATTTTTTAAGCATAAGCAGCATTAATTCTCAAAGGTGAATTCTTTAATCAATCAAGCATTGATTTAAGATCCTTTTTTAAGCAAAAAGGAGGTTTCATTTTGGATGACTAATTAGAAGTGTTGTAATGATAAAATTGATTATTATAGAAAAAAATATATATTTACAAACATCTTAATTAAAAAATTTTTTTTATGCTAATCTCATTTTGAATTGCCTTAAGTAGAAAAATTAATTAGATGTTCTAAAAATTTTTATCAATAAATTAAATTTTTTTAAATATAAAAGGCATTTATGTGTAAATTAATCTTAAAAGAAAGTAGAATTAATAATATTTCCTTAAATTATTTAACGGTTACTAATTTTTAGACAAAAGAAATTTTATTTTGATATTTCGAATAAAGGGATTAGGATCTAAAATTAAATTTATATTAGTTAAAAGTTTTAGATTTGTTCATTAATAATTGAAATAAATTTTTAAGGAACTGAAAATTTTTTTAATCACAATAAATATTGGTCTGAATAATACCCTTCTATTAACATAATTCATTTTGAGCAATAATTTTTGTTATAAATACCTAACTAAGAAAAAATTAATTTGGAAAAAATGCAAAAAATAATTTTTAGTTAAATCTTAATTGATTATAAATTTAAACTAAATTTTTGGTTCCTTTTAACAGAATACATTTTATGATAAATAAAATAAAAAGGGATTCTTGCTTTTTTTAAAGTAAATGCTTCATTTGTTAAATTAATTTTCCTTCATTTTTTATAGTAATCACTAGAAAAATCTTATTTCAATTTTTAAATATCTCTTGAAAAATAGTGAAATAAATATTTTCAATTTATATGTGTAATGTTTTTGACAATTTTTACTTTTATTAAAATCTATTTAACTTTCAGAAATAGAACTTGCTCTTTAATTAAATAAAATCTCAAATCTCCACCTTATTAATTGAAAAATGTTTATTAAAAATTTATGCTCCTTATGTTTTTATTATTTTTTATTAGTATATCAGGAGAATGTTAACTTTATTAAAATTGAAATTAATACCATTTTCAGAAACAAAATAATTTTTAAAATAAGTTTTTCACTTAGCTAGAACATTTTGATAACATTTATTCTTGGTTTTCATTTATAGTACATCCATACTCGAATTGATTAATCAAAACTGCCAGAAAAAAAGGGACCACTTATTAGAGAAAAGCAAATTAATTGAACATAATAAGCATGTTCAAATCTCAATAACAATTAACCTATCTTAACATATCATAAGCAGATAGAGTCATCAAAACTTCCAAATGCTAAATAATGCTATCAGGAGAGAAATAAACTTTACTGAGAGAATTTATTATCTCATTTGATTGTTTCCTTTTTTCTAGCCTTACCATCCAGTATATTAATAAATTAATCATAACTACCAGATTCTAATTTAGTACTATCAAGAAAGAATCATACTAATTTACTATGATCCTCTAAATTTAGTATTTCATTTATTCTAATTTTTTCCATTTGAAAATTAATAATCAAAGAAGCTTCTAATAGCTTAATATTTTAAAAGCATTTTCTTTAGATCAACCTTCATTCTAATTAATTAAGTCAAGAAATTTGAAGCTCATTAAACTAATGGGTTATCAATGGTTGTGAGGTGAACAAGAAATTTATTAAATTTAATAATCTTTTATTTTTGTGATATTTTCTTAACAAAATTTTATTTTACATCAACGTAGACTTCTGAGGTATATTATTCTTATTAAAGACAAGATCATCTATTTAGTTGATAACATTAGTGAGTTATTTAATATAATTATTTTCAACATTAACTTCCTTAAACTTATAGATCTTTAATTCATATGCTTATGATTGTAATTTGTTGAAGGTAATCCTTTACATTTAAAATTTTTCTATTTTTTATATTTCAAGTATTGGGCTCAAGATTTTTTCATCAATATCCTTGATTCATGAAAAATAGTCAATTATATCTTTTTCATATTCATTAACTTAATATATTTAATTAAAAAAAATATTCAATTTCCATTATAATTTTTACATTTTATTTATATATATATGATGTTGAAATACACAAAATTATTTCAACAATATTTAAATTAATCTATTTTTTTGAATATTGTATATGTACTATAAGAATAACTGCATATTAATTAAAATTGTATATTGAAAATATTTTCAAATTTTAAATATATTGTTATTTTATCAATTATAAAGAAAATAAATCTTTTTCTAAGAAAAATGTAAAAAAAGGTATATAAATATAATCAAAAATAGAATCGATTTTTCAAAAGATTAAAATTATCATGGAGAACAACTTAATGACAGAGAGTTTTATATCGAAAAAAATCATAATATAATTAGTTAGTTTGCATTTGAAAATATAGAGATATAACAATTAATAGCAAATTGAAGAATAGATATGAGGAATCAATAATTATTATTAATATTTAATTTATTGAAAATATTAGACCCAAAACCATTATTTTGACTCTTCCTGCCTATTGAAACTCCAAACAAGAAGAGATCAGAATTATAAATATATTTTTATAATTAAGAATTTTTCTTACTCCTTCTTCATAGTTCTCATATTTTTTTTAATAGCAAGGAATGCTTTGCAGTCTTTATATTTATTAAAATCTCTTTAATCATTAATGAAATCTCCTTTGTTAATTATAGATGTTCTTTTATGCTATAAATTGGTAAAAAATTATGAGCTCTATCAATTTTCCTCCTTCTCTTAATTCTCTAAGTTTTTTGCTCTGTTAAATGGTAATTAAAGAGCCAAAAAGCTTGTTACCCTTAGAAGAGCCAACTCCATTAATTATAGTTACTAAGCCCTTAAAATTTATGACTAAAAATTATCTAGGAACTCCAAACAGCATATTTATCAACACTTTAGAGGCTCTCACAATAATAAAGCTTTTAGCTAAGAAATATAACAATTGTTGTAAAATTGAATTACTGGATAAATGGAACAACATCTTCCTCAACTTATAGTTATTGTATAAGCGTATTTTTGTTAAATTGCAATAAAACTTCAAATTAATTTATAAAATTAAGAAATTTCTTAGATCACTTTTGAACAAAAAAATAAAAATTTTTGATGACTAGTATGAGAGCGGAAGAGAACCATTAATAATTTATTTTTAAGAAAATAATTTTCAACTAGAAATTTATCCAAATTATAAAATAAACAAAAATTTCAAACTTATAAATTACTTCCTGTTACCCTCATGATAATTTCTAAAATTTGAAACTTGAGTTCTTCTATATGCTCTTACAACAGAAAAATCATTGGTCTTTGTTAGAGTAATGGGAGCATTACATTATGAGCATTAAGAATAAATTAATGAGCACTATTTGAAGGTTTTGAATTCTGAAGAAATAGTAAGAATAACTCTTAATTATATAAAATATGTTTATAATTCTGATCTCTTCTTATAGAGTAATAGGATTTTAATTTTGATAGACAGAAAGTAAATTAGAAAGGCATTATGAATCTTACAGAAAATTTAGAGTAACTTTTTTTTTTAATTTTAAAGAGTTGTAAGCTTGTCATTTAATAACATGATTTCGATATATTATTCTAAATCTATAAATTAAAGAAGAAAGAATAAATAGTTCTTGATATTATTTAGTCATAAGTCACGATAACAATCAATTATTTAGGTTTCGTTTCTTTTTATAAACAAAATTATACCAACGCTAAAATCAAATTACTAAATATTTTAATACGACAATCAGAATGAAGTAGATATTTTCGTGGTTAAATTATCTTGGATTTTCTCTAAATTATAAAACACCCAACTTTTTGGTATAATCAATTGTCTTAATTTATTACTATTAAAAATTATTTCAATAGAAGTTTTTTCGTTATCATTAGAATATTTTGGGGTTTCTTAAGCATGGTGTTATGAAAATAAATTAGCAAACCATTTGTAAACCCAATATGGAGATGAGCTTTCGGAGGATTTGTAAGAGCTAGAAAAAGAAAATACGTTTTCATTTTATTGAAGCATTTATGTTAAAATGAATATCAATTATGAATTTGAGATTTTGTTGATTGATATGTGTTTCAGTTATGAAATTCTAAATATGTAAGAAAATAATATTTTACTAATATATAGTTAGAAATTATATAAATGGATGTTCTCATAGTCAATATTTATAGAATATACTAAGATTGATTATTAATGTACGATTATTTAAGAAGATTTATACACAATAATTGATCAAGAATGTTTGATAAAACTCATTTAATGATTGAATAGGAATATATGTTCATAAGGTTTCTGTTAATTAAGCAAGGCTGATTATCACAATTATCATGATAAAATATATAATTACTTAATTTGGAGACTCTTAAACTCTATATTATGCTATAATTACAATTTTAATGACGAAATTGGTTTCTATGAATGCAAATGTGAATCAGGTTTCTTTGTTAATTCAGGTAATTTATAATCATCTATATCTTATGATAGTCTCATTTTAAAAGAGCAATAGTGTAATGGCGTTATCTATTAATTTTTATTTAGATTTTTTTTTTGTACTATATGCCAAAATAGTGAAAATTAAATATATATTAAATATAAAATAATATTTAAGAGGTGGAATTCTAATTATGATTGAGAAAATTATATGAGATTCATGTCTCAAAGAACAGCCTAAACTATAATTGAGACTACCACGAACAAAAAGTACATAATTCATCATTAGGCTTATGTAAGGATTATCAACTTAGAGGTTGTGTATTCCTTCATGAATAATGAATCTTTTCTGGATTAGAAGACTTTGATGGATATAGTATTAAATGCTTAATGGAAAGAACGATATTTAATTTGATCAAGATAATAATCTAGTGTTAATAGAGTCTAATTCAAATAGTCTAATTTAATAAATCTAATTCCTATCAAATTATAATAATCACCATTCTGTCATAAAAGATACTGATAAGCAATAAATAATTAAGAAAGAGCTACTTACTTATTTATATAATTTTCTGATTACAATAATAATTTTCTAGAATCTAATTTCGTCATATCATCTTGTTGAACTGTTGAAACACTTAGTGTTATTCATAAAAGTTTAATTTAATTATTTTAAGTAGAAAATTAATAAAGCATGGCCAAAACACTTAAGGAAGTTTTAAATCTTTGAAATATTTTTAGCATATCTATCATATTTTCTCTTTATATTGAGAAAATTTTTGAGAATTAAAGAAATTTTTGGAATAGGAGTTTGAAAAATAAAGAATATCCTAATCTTAGAAATATGAATAATTTAATTATAATTAGTTAAACTCTCAAAAATTTTACGTTAAAACAAAATGAAGACATCAGTTTTGTTTATAGAACATTCTAATCATAGGAATGGAGTCTTGAATTGATATTCTTTTTGAAATGATTTTTCTAATCCATATTATATAATTTTAAGTTTAACGGTATTTGGAATTTATTTATAGAAGAAAAGACCAAACTGTTTTCTATTTATAAATATTTTGATTAAATTTAATGAACAACAATTAAAATATGATTTTTTGGTTGATTAGAACAATATTCATCTCAGCAGTAATAGGATAAAAAGAATACTCTAATTATTATGGTGTATTTGGAAGTGATTATGAATTGTGTCCTGATTTACATACATATGTGCCTGGTATGCATCCGCATTAATGTGTTTGTAATTATAAGTGTTATTAATAGCTTATGCTTCTGTTTGCTAAGGTGTTACAACAGTAGTAATAAAAACTTTAACAAATGGAACTTAACATATATGCCATCCAAGATATCAACCATTTCTAATAGGGGCTATAACTAAAGACTCCTATTCAGTTCATTGCGGATACCAATTTGGTTACTCATTAGTAATGGAACTCCTATATGATGGACTTTATAAATACTATTGTGGAGGTAAAAATTGTTTATTTTTAAATAGATTTTAGAAATTAAGGTTTAAGTCTTTAGAGGTGTTTGATAGTTGTATCATAATATGGTTAGAATAAATGTCTATATTGTAAATTTCCATTCTTTGATTATGAATGTAAATAAGTTTAGATAGGTTTTAATTAATAATCTGCAGGTACTCCTTCGACCGTTTAAAGTAATTCAAATATGATTATTCTAGAGTGTAATGGTTAATGTTTGGATTGTAATGGATAAGGATATTGTAATTAATGTAGAGAAGGTTTTTCAAGTAAAGATGGTTATGATATTAGTTGTTCATTAGGTAATTAAAATATTACAATTTGATAGATTGTTAGGGATTTCGATCTTGTTATCTTGATACATAATAAAATGTAATTGGGAATCCTGGATGCAAATCAGGATACTATGGTGCGGAATCTAAATGCTTTTATTGTTAATATATTAACAAATATTTTATAGCCTATATTTATCGTTGTTAAGATGCATATTAAGGTACTTCTGGAATGGGTTGTTATAAGTGCTAAGATGGATTTTTTTTAGGAAGATATTATGCGCAGAATGCATATTACACATATTGTTATTAGTATGATTGGAATTGTCACAAAGATAGATAATCAGTATTTGAAAAAAGAGACACTTGGAATGATTATAAATATTTTGTAATTCTTCGAGATATACATAGGTATATTGTTAGTTATGCGATCCAGGATACATTTAATTAGAGAAATAAAGCTATTGTTATTGTAACTTTTATTTTATCAATTTTTTAGAGATTAGTTATTTTAAATAAGGTTGTGTCTTATTAGATACATTTGGTGTTAATTGTATAGCTTGTCTTCCACAATATGCTTTACAAACTAATGGCACATGCTTATATTATTAATGTGCACTATAATGTTCAACTTGTTTGGACACTGATCCAAATTTTTGTACCACTTGTGATAGCACAGTAAATCAAATAGCTGATAATGGTATCTGCAAATGCTTACCAAATTCTGGTTTGTAGGAAGGAAATTGCACGCTTTGTAAGGAGGGTTATTGTCAAGAATGTGAACTAGAGGATTTTTATTAATGTATTTCATGTAAAGAAGGATCAAACAGAATACTCATCGATAAACAATGCCCTTGTTTATCTGGTTATTTTGATCCTGAAAATGAAGATTAAATATGTCTCCGTATATTGACTAAATGATATTTTAGCCTGTGATATTAGTTGTCCAAATTGTTTTGGTCCATCAAATTTAGAATGTACTGAATGTCTAGAGGAAAGTATCTCAAACAGAATTAAAATTAATGATTCTTGTCCATGTAAAAATGGATATGCTGATTATGCTATTAAGCAATCAAAATGTGGAAGTATAAATTATAATTAACTTCAGAATGCCATCCAAAATGTCAAACATGTTTTTAAGCAGCTGATGAAACCTAAAATTAATATTGTCTTACATGTATAACTGGATAGAATCGTGTTGTTTCAGATGCTTTTAATTGTGATTGTAAAGTGAATTCTGGGGATCTTGATGGTACTTTAGAAATTTGTATAAGTACTTTTGTAAATTACACATAGTTTGTCATTATACATGTGGAATCTGTAATGGTACTGAATCCACAAATTGCATATAATGTGAATAAAGTACTTTTAGAGAATTGACACCTTCAGAAGAATGCTTATGTAAATTATCATATTATGATGATAATACAGAAAATATAGAATGCTAAAGTAATATCTTAGATTTGATTTATAGAGTGCCATTATTCATGTGTAACATGCGCAAACTCTATTGAAAAAGATGCATGTGTATAATGTCCTTCAACCCGAAAAGCTAATTCATCAGGCAGTTAATCTGAATGCGTTTGTATTTATGAAAATACTTTTGATGATGGATTTTCATAAGAATGTCAACAATGTCATAAATATTGTTTAACATGTAATGGTCTGATATTGGAGAATTGGAATGTGCAAGTAATTATACTTAAATAATCTTAGAATGCCACTATTCTTGTCACTAATGTTTTGATAACATATCAGAAAGTTGTATTGTTTGTTCTCTTGAACTTAATTTTAGAGTATTAAAAGGTAATTTCTGTAAATGTATTGATGGTTATTATGAAGAGGCTGGAATTGCTTAGTGTAAAAGTAAATATTCTAATTATTAATAATTTATTAGAATGTTCATATAAATGTGAATTATGTGAAAACCAATCAGAAAAATGTTTGAGCTGCCCATTAAATTCTTTACGTATACTCGATCCTATTAAGGGGTGTTTTTGTCCAGGAGAGTATTATGATAAAGAAAATGAATTTGCTTGTTAAAGTAATTATCATATATTTTGCAGGATGCCATTTCAAATGTAGATCTTGTGATGGGAAGGATTAAGACAATTGTCTTTCTTGTGATTCTGTTGCTAATAGAGAATTAAAAAATAATGAATGCAAATGCTAACCACATTATTTTGAAATGGAAGTTTAGGAATGCACTAGTAATAATATTATATTTAAATTATAGCTTGCAGTGCACTATGTTATGAATGTATAAAAAATTTTGAAAATTGTACTTCATGCAATAGTGATAGATATTTAGTTGAAAGTAAATGCATATGTATAACTAAATTAAATGGAGGAGCAATAAGTACATTTGAATATAATGGGATGGTTTAATGTTAAAGTAAAAAATCAAAAAATAATTAGAATGTCATTATTCATGTGGTACCTGTGGAGGATTTGAAGTAGGAGATTGTAATTCTTGTGTAGATACTGACCACAGATTATAAGTTGGAAATACATGTATCTGTAAAGAAGGATATTATGATGCAGGATTGCCTGTTTGTTAAAGTATTAATAGATTTTAATGCATAGAATGCAATTATTAATGTAAAGGCTGTTCGAAGTTATCTGAAAGTTGTACTTCTTGTCCTGATAATAGCTTCAGATAATTTGTTTCAGGTTTTAATAACTGCCAATGTATTCAAAGATATTATGATGATGGATTCAATGAAGTTTGCTAAAGTAATTATTTTTTTTATCATTTTAAGAATGCCATTATTAATGTCTCAGATGCAATGAAATTGAAACAAAATGTGAATTATGTTCCCCTTAATCAAATAGAATTTATAATGATGTTCTATTTACCTGTGATTGTAATATTGGATATTATGATATTGGAGTTGAAGATTGTTAAAAATGTCACTACTCATGTTAAACTTGCAATTCTGGAGATTCTAATTCTTGTATTTCATGTATAGAAATGAATACTTCAAAGAGAGTATTTTATAATAATACATGTGTATGTTTATTTGGATATTACGATGATGGTTCTAAAATATCATGTTTAAAATGTGATATATAATGTTTAAGTTGTGTTTAACAATCTTATTAATGCTTATCTTGTCCATAAACAAGAAAAATAGAAACCAATTGTAAATGTCAGTAAGGATATTATGATGTTGGCTTATAAATTTGTCTATAATGTAATTCTAATTGCTTTACATGTGAAATTTCATCAAAAAACTGCACATCATGCGATTCTAATTAATTTAGAGAACTTAACATAAAAACTTAAACTTGTGATTGCTAAATAGGTTATCTTGAAATCAATGAGATCTGTCAAAAATGCTATTTTAGTTGTAAAACATGTGCTTAATCAATAAATAATTGTACTTCTTGTGTATAATTTCGATACTTGAAAAATAATGAATGTATTTGTAATGAAGGAATGTATGAATCAAATGTTGATAAATTATGTAAATTATGTAATTAGACATGCTTAACTTGTGCTAATTCTAATTCTTACTGTTTGACTTGTTCAATTGAAAATTTTAGATAATTTACTTATGGAAATACTTGTGAATGTAGATAAGGATATTATGAAGATTCAGTTACTTTGAATTGCGAATATTGTTCAAGTTCATGTTTGACTTGTTCTTTATTATATGATAATTGTACAAGTTGTGATTCTAGTCTTAATTTATCTTTAGTCAATAATAAATGTGCATGCTCATAATCATATTTTTTTGATCCTTTAACTAAATAATGTGAATGTAATATTATAAATAAATAATTAGAATGCAATATCACCTGCCTAGAATGTTAAAATAGTAATTAATGCACATAATGTAGATTGACAACCAGACATTATGATGCAGATGAAAAGAAGTGCTTATGTAATGATGGATATTATGAAACAAATCAATTAAATTGTTAATGTATTTATATCTTTAATCCTATTTAGTATGTCATTTATCATGTGGTACTTGTTAAAATGTAAGTACTAATTGTTTAACTTGCTAAAGTGTATACATAAGAATATTAAAATATAATCAATGTTTATGTTTGGATGGTTATTATGATGCAGGAATTGAATTGTGTTAAAAATGCAATAATATTTGTAAGACCTGTTAATCTTCTGCGGTATCCTGTTTATCATGTTATGAAATTGAACAACACAGAGATTATTCAGGTGATAAGTGTTTATGCAAAATGGGTTATTATGAATCAAATACAGAGATATGTTCAAGTAATTAATTTTAAATGATAATTAGAATGTTCAAATTAATGTTTAACATGTTAAGGTTCTGCTGAATATTGTACCAGTTGTGATACAAATTCTAAAAGAGTTGATCAATCTATTATCCATAAATGTCCTTGTATTCTTGGATTTTATTCAGATGAGAATTAGAATTGTTAAAGTAAATTTTTATAATTAAACTAATAGAATGTCATATTAAATGTTAGACTTGCATAACTTCTAACGACTAATGTTTAAGTTGTAATTTCTAACTAAATTCAAATCGAATGTCTATATCTAGTTTTTGTAATTGTTAAGAAGGTTATTTTGATGATGGAATATAACTTCAATGCTAAAATTGTAATTTTAGATGTAAGACTTGTTAAATTGAAGAAAATAATTGTCAAATCTTTTAGAATATATTAAGATTTAATCCTCCAACATGTAATTGCAAGGATGGGTATTATGAAGATGAGTAACTTATTTGTTAAAGTAAATTTTATTGTTTAAAATAAGTTTGTGCTTCTCAATGCAATACATGTATATTGCAACCAACAAATTGTTTAAGTTGTAATCCAGGAAGAATTCAAAAAGATTGCAAATGTATTGATGGATATTTTGAAATTGGATTAACTTTATGTTCATGTAATAATTTAGTAAACTTTGTATAGAATGTGCATTTTAATGTGCTACTTGTGAATTATATCCTTTAAATTACAAGACTTGTAAAGGTAATAGGATTCAAGAGCCTAAATGCATTTGTTAATTTGGATATTTTGATGACTAATTAAATGAAGATTGTTAAAAATGTGATATTACCTGTTTAGAATGCAATATTAATGGATGCTTATCTTGTTTTGCCAATAGATTATTAGATTAAGAAATGAATTGTATTCCTCCACAAAATTCAATTTGGTATGATAGTACACCTTGGTGTTCAAGTATATTTTTCCAATAAACAATTAGCTTGTGAGGTTGCAGTTATTAAGGCATATTTCTCAGATGACCTTAGTTAAATTATTATTCATTTTGATTTTCCTTTAAATCCAAAGGGATTCAGTTAATAAATTCAAATTAATAAATGTTTGTAAATATTTGAAGTAGAATCTGCAAAAAGTTTTGGTTAAAATTCTGTTTGCTACCTTAACCAAGAAGATAATTAGGAATTACTAATCTAATTAGGTGAAAACTCGAAAATATAAGTTGGTGAATAAATCCTATTTAAAAGTAATGCCTTATCTCAAATTAATTGCGAAACTACTTTAAAAATATTTATATTTGATATATTACAAATGCCAATAAACCCACTTCCTCCATCAATTTAATATCAAGTGCCTTTACATAAATTAAATCCTAAATCAGATAATTCAATTTATATAAAATCAATTAAAAACAATGGAAATAGAAAATTAGATAATATTATTTGGAGTTATCAAATGATGGCAGGTGAAGATAGTTCTAATACTATTAGCCAATTTTTAGATTAAATTAATTTTGTGTAAGAATATAATTTATTAATACCTAAACTTACTTTACCAAAAGATGCAGAACTTAAGTTTAAGATCTAATATGAAAATTTCATCCATATCAATTCTTAAACAGAATTTACTATTCACACTCATTCAGGAATTCTTCCATAAATTAATATTAATTCAAAACCTTCCTATTTTGTTTATTAGCCAATTACAATTGGAGTTTCTGCTGGCAATTCAGATTAGTCAATTTCAAAAGATAATTATTAAATTTAAATGAATGAAATTGATAGAGAGCCAAATAAATCAATTCCCTCTTAAATTAATTCTTCATTTTAATCTACTTCATTTGAAATGATCTATATAACTATTCCAAAATATACTTTGAGCCCTAATTCAACATATACATTTTAAGTGATGGCTACCAATATAAATACTAACCAAACTCAATATTAAAATTTTACCTTTGATATTCCATTTGCTGGATTTATTTGTTAATTTAATAATCTAGGACTTTAAAGTATAAGAAAAGATTTAAAACTTTAAATAGAATGTAAGGATTTAGACACAATATTTGATTGGAATGCTGATCCAAATTTGTCTATTGAAGTCGATTGTAAAGATTTATAAATGAATAGTACATGCTAAAATGCACAAAAGAAAATAATTAATGTTAACAAGACTGCGACATTTTAATTCATAAAGAGGAATTTTTTTCTACATTTACAGTTTAATAATGGACTGTAACTGTTACAAAATTTTAATAGACTTAAAAATTTACTTAAATTATTGTTTACCTTGATGATGATTTCCCTTAATTAGACCTTGAATTCAATAAAGGTTATTTAATGAGAAAAATTAATAATTATGAATAACTAAATTTTACTTTTCTCATCCCTTTTGATAAAAAACCCCTTCTATTAGATCTATCAATTGCAATTATTTATAACTATGAGATAATAGAAATACTGTAACCACAATATATTTCCCATTAATTCAAGATATTTAATAGCATTAAAGAATTAAATTTTGGTGATGAGATCAATCTTAAATTTTTGGCTTAATACACAAATAATATCATGCCAAGCTTAAATAATATTAAAATAAATATCAATTAGCCTCCATAATGTTCTAAATTATATATTACACGCTCAAATAACTTAGCACTTACTGATTTTGGAGTAGCAAGTAGTTGTGATCAATCAAATGATTCTCCTTATTCCTATTAGCTTAGATTATTTTTGAGAGAATCAGACTTAACTGATTTTTAACAAGGATCTTTAGATAATTCCTTAATTCTTTATCCATTTTAAACTTAAAATTAATTTTTAATTTAAACTCCCTCATCTATTGACTTTTCAAAAATTGGAATTTTAGTTGAAGTACTTGATAATGGAGGATCAATGACTCAAATTTTTGAATAAATTACTGTAAACTTCGCAAAAATAAATTGTTCCTCTATTTAATATTAGAATTTGAATTTATAAAAAAAAATATCATTGTTATTTGAAGCATTGAATTAAAAATGTGATGAACTACATTCTTAAATTTATCTTAATATGCTTTAGTAATCAATTTTAGCAGATGAAAATGAAAATATCTTGAAATTTTAGGCTCTAAAACTATATAAACAACTCTTAATTTAATCCATTTAAAACAAACCTTAAGATAATTTGCCTAAGCAAAGATGCTTTGATAAAAACACAAACCATTTCTTTATTACAAACAATACCACTGAGACTGAAGTTAATTTGACAACAAAAATAGAAAGCTTAAAAGAAAATACTCAGAATTTAAATAAAACTCTAAATTATTTTAGGAACCTAAAAAAAAAATTTGAAGAGGATATTTAATTAAATTAATACACATGGAATGAATAAATCTTTCAACAGTATTAAAATACGTAAGAATGTTTAAGGAGTTTATTATTCTATCTGGATGATATTTATTCTAATTTTTCATTAATAAATGTAAAAAATGAAATTCTTTATTAAGCCATTATGGATTTGTAACAGTACATGTCTTTAATATCAGAGGAAACTTAAAATACAATTATAGTGAACTAAAAGCCTCTTGCAATTAATGGAAATGAAATAATTTGGTAAATAAAAAGAAGAACAATTTCATAATTCAATTAATAATTTGATATAGAACCAGCAAAAGAAGATTTCCTTGTAGAGTATGTTTAATTTGAATCTATTTATTTTAAAACAAATCCTTTAAGATTCACTTCAGATCTATAAGATTTACTCTATGCTTAATTTAATGACTAAACCTTACAAATTTTGTCATAGAATTACTACCTAACATCTTTGAAAAATTCTTATCATCATAGATTTATATCTTATGAAAATTTTTCATCTACTTATGGAACTAAATTTGGATCCTATTAAGTTTGCTCAAATACTACATAATCTTTATTTTAATATGAAGTTTAGTGTGTAATTAGAACAATTTTTGGAAAAATTTATTTGTGTAATCTCTAACAAGAACAAAATAATGATACTATTGAGCTAACTTGTGACTGTAATAAATTTGGTGAGATTTTTCTTTTATCTTCAACAAACTTTAGTATTGCAAATGTAAACAATACTAATATTTAAATATCTGATCTTAGTGTTGATTCCACATCAGACAATTAATTGGTTTTACAAATTTGTACGAGCTCTTTATCATTCATTTTTATGGCTGTTTATGTAGTTTAAAGATATAAAGATTATAAAGAAGAGTAAGAGAGCTCTGAAAATGAATAAAGAAATTTGAATCCCTCAAACATCTTACTTAATAGAAATTTTGTATATAAAGGTAATTCTAAAGTGTTCAAGGAAAAATTAAAGGTAAAATTCAATTATTATTTTAGTAAATTCATTAAACTATTTCACTATTTAATTAGAGACTAAAGTATTTAACTTAGTTATCGAATTTTAGAAGTACTCTCCTAATTTAATTTATATTTAACTCTTACAATCCTTGAATTTTAGATGTTAAATAATTAAATTCTTTTCATTTGTTTATTCATTATAATAAATCCTCTTATCATTTTAATAATGAGAATTTTTTATAAAATAATTGAAGCTTTCTATAGATTCAAAAAGATTGCTGCTATCATTAGCCAGATTGTTCTTATCTTATTATTGATGACACCCAATCTGATAATGTAAATTTTTTACTTACTGAAGTATTTATTAAAATATTTTAGAATAACAATGCAGCCAGAATAATATAAAATGGTAATTGTCTTTGTAGGAAATATAATAATATCACAATTACTATTAGAACCACTTACAATTTTTGGAAGAATAATAATTTATAGATTAATTGCTTCAAGTATAAAAAACATGGAACTTAATCCAGTTTTTCATTTAATGCATTTTTTTGTAATGCATAGCAGTTTAGAAGAAATATTTGAAGATTTTGCAAGGATTTGATAAATAATTAATCTAAAGATATTAAATATTTTATAAACAATAAAAATTTTTTAATATAATTAAATTAAAGATTTAATTTTAAATTGAATATCATCTGTTTTATAATATATTGATATTGAAGATTATGCTATGTGCTCTTAAATAAGAGATTTTATTTTCTTCAAGTAATAAAAATCTCGTGTTATTGATAAGATTAGCAATATTAAATTAATTCTAAAAATATATTCAATTTACTAGTTTTAAGTATAAGATTCTTCACACTTACTCATCGATTTTTATGATATTAATTATAAAGACTATCGGTATTGAATACAATTCTAAATAAATCAATAATATTGGAATTTTATCTATAAAATTTTAATTGTTATTAAAACAATTATATACTTTTTAATTCATATTTATAATAAAATTCCAAGTGAATAAAAAAATGCCTTCAAAATTATTCTTATAGGTTAATAAGAGTATTAATTTGAACTTAATAGAGATAGATGAATACTTTTTTTAATTTTTTTTCAGAAGCTGCTCAATCAAACTTTCCTTAATTTTAATAGTAACAAAATTGGATTTAATGCAACAAAAAGATGATGAAAAATAGATAAATTTATAAAAAAATATAGATGAATTCTAAAATTTTTTGTATAGTAACGTTTTTCAACTATTTTTGATTTAATTTTAATAAATAGAACTGAATCAGAATAAATTAAGAAGAGCTTTGATAATAATTAATTGATACAATACTCAAAAAGAAATAATGTAATTTGATGATTATGAATAGCAATATAAATAAATTTCAAATTAGATAAAAAAAACAAAATATTTATTTTACATAACAAAATATATCAATTCCAAATTTAATCATCGTTTAAAAAATGTGTTACCATTTTTAAAGTAGCTATTGGTAAATCATTTTGAACAAAGTGCCCAGCATTATATAAAGTGGCATAATAAAAGTTGTTATAATGCTTTATTGTTCCTGCTGTTTCATTCTAATCAAATCCTTCGCGTTTAGATGTAAATATCTTTTTAGGCTGTTTCTTCCATTCAAATATATATTTCCATTTCAATTTATTTATTATATAATTCATAGATGGAGTATTACAAATGATATCTCTAGATCCTTAATAAATTAACACTTTTTTTCCTTTATTTAATAATAATTCTAAATTGAATTTTTGAGATTTTGAAATATCAACTTCAAAATTCTTAATTATGTTCTTATTCCAATCAATATATATTATATCATCAGGTGCTCCATATTATTATTTATATTAATTTATAAATCCTTAATAAAATTCTTCACTCTATCCTTCATTTAAATACTTCTAAAAATCATGAGAACTCACTTGACCTGTATATTTGTTTAAAATAACAAATATGCCAAAAAAACCTTCTTCTGTTGACTTAAGATATTCTCCATTTAGAATATAATTTTATGCCTTTGCCATTAATTCTTATGTATAACTTTTCTTTTGTTCGTTATAAATTCCCAAACTATAAAGAAATGGTGCATAGCTTTAGTATTAAATGAAAGCATCTGTCCAACCATTTCCAAAACCTATTCCTTTGAAATTTATATTTAAATTTGATTCTTCTAATGCAACTCCTATAGCTGGTACATAATGACCACTGTAGCTTACGCCAAAAACATAAAAATTAATTTATTAAAATTATTGTCTCTCCTTAAAGAATATACGAAAAAATACAACTATGTAAAGAGCAGCTTATTCTGAGTTTTCGACATTTATATTAGGTTGGGAATAACTCAATCCCACTTCAAAAGGCTAATCAATAAAAATAATATGAGCTATTTTATTCCAAGTATTTTATGCTTTCTTTACAGAATAGTCATTTTCTCCTCTTTTATAAATGTGAAAGGGTCCAACATTTTGAAATATTTGAATTAATGAAGAATAACCTGGACCACCATGAAGCCATAATATAAAATTATCACTTTCTTTAACTTCATTTAAGCTCATTGTCCCTTCTTTTAAAAATAAATGATAGAAAAATTGATTATTTCCATTATTGATTGTCTATACTTTTATATAACCAGTTTCACTATAAAAATTAGTTTCAGGTTCTAAATTTTAATAAAAACCTTATAAATTATAGTATCAACTTACTTGTTTAATCAATAAATGTAAATGATTGACTAGAAGCTGTAAATAATAAAAAAAACAATTCAATTGTTTTTATCATATATTATATTTAATAATTTCTTTAGAAAATAAATTATTTTATAAATATTAATAATTTCAATCATAATAGATTATATAAACTTCAATTATCTATTAACAAAATTTTACATATTAGTAAATTGAAAAAATATTGATTCCTGTTAAAAATTGTATAAATCATTTTTTATTACCAAATAAATATTGATTTTTGATAATAACTAATAATATATAAAATTATATGATCATTCATTAAGGGCGAAAATTTAATTACCATTTGATTTTAAAAAATAGTTATAAATAGGAAAATAGATTAAAGAAAATAAATTAAAGATGCTTATTAAATCAAATGTATTATTGAAAAATTAAAATACGTTATTTAAACTTATAAGTCTTAGAAATTTTAGAGTTGATTTTCTAATAATATAACGCATTCTCAAATAAATTTATGATTACAGAAATAATTTATTTAATGATAATTAATTTAAATTGAAATATTATGATGAAAAGGATAAAATATTTCCAATCAATTTTTGAAATTGCAGCTTATTATTACTTTATATTTAAATGTTCTAATTAATAATTTATAGTATTAGATATCTTTATGTTTTGATAGTGTTTGAATTCAATATATAGATTTTATAATTGTAATAATCAATAGTTATTTGATAAAATTAACGTTACTTAAAAAACAATTGCAATAATAATAAAGCTTTATATTGTTATATATCAATAGATAAATATCTTCATTTTCTATAGGAATGCAAAGAATGAAAATTTGAATATTACAAATATTTTAATTTTAGATAGTTTTTTTTAAATTAGAACAATTAATATTGTTAATAGATGAACTTCTAAAATTTAAACACAGTAATTTGCTAAGAGTAATCAATTTAGAAACATGATATTAAGTTATTAGAAATTTTGAAGTGGGATGAGATCAAAAAGAAATTAGTAAAAATTACAATTGAAATAACATTTACATAAGATAATAAAATTGTTTATTCATAGGAGGGAGTAATTTTAAGGATGTAATAGAATAATAAAAATATAAAAGTGAATAAATCAATGACTCTATTGAAAATTAAGAATTAATGACAAATATGGAATAAATCAAATATGCTCAATGGTAAGGCGAATATGGAGAGAATAATAGGAAAAATGGATATTGGAGAGTTATTTGGAGAGGGAAGCCTTTGNCCATTATTGATTGTCTATACTTTTATATAACCAGTTTCACTATAAAAATTAGTTTCAGGTTCTAAATTTTAATAAAAACCTTATAAATTATAGTATCAACTTACTTGTTTAATCAATAAATGTAAATGATTGACTAGAAGCTGTAAATAATAAAAAAAACAATTCAATTGTTTTTATCATATATTATATTTAATAATTTCTTTAGAAAATAAATTATTTTATAAATATTAATAATTTCAATCATAATAGATTATATAAACTTCAATTATCTATTAACAAAATTTTACATATTAGTAAATTGAAAAAATATTGATTCCTGTTAAAAATTGTATAAATCATTTTTTATTACCAAATAAATATTGATTTTTGATAATAACTAATAATATATAAAATTATATGATCATTCATTAAGGGCGAAAATTTAATTACCATTTGATTTTAAAAAATAGTTATAAATAGGAAAATAGATTAAAGAAAATAAATTAAAGATGCTTATTAAATCAAATGTATTATTGAAAAATTAAAATACGTTATTTAAACTTATAAGTCTTAGAAATTTTAGAGTTGATTTTCTAATAATATAACGCATTCTCAAATAAATTTATGATTACAGAAATAATTTATTTAATGATAATTAATTTAAATTGAAATATTATGATGAAAAGGATAAAATATTTCCAATCAATTTTTGAAATTGCAGCTTATTATTACTTTATATTTAAATGTTCTAATTAATAATTTATAGTATTAGATATCTTTATGTTTTGATAGTGTTTGAATTCAATATATAGATTTTATAATTGTAATAATCAATAGTTATTTGATAAAATTAACGTTACTTAAAAAACAATTGCAATAATAATAAAGCTTTATATTGTTATATATCAATAGATAAATATCTTCATTTTCTATAGGAATGCAAAGAATGAAAATTTGAATATTACAAATATTTTAATTTTAGATAGTTTTTTTTAAATTAGAACAATTAATATTGTTAATAGATGAACTTCTAAAATTTAAACACAGTAATTTGCTAAGAGTAATCAATTTAGAAACATGATATTAAGTTATTAGAAATTTTGAAGTGGGATGAGATCAAAAAGAAATTAGTAAAAATTACAATTGAAATAACATTTACATAAGATAATAAAATTGTTTATTCATAGGAGGGAGTAATTTTAAGGATGTAATAGAATAATAAAAATATAAAAGTGAATAAATCAATGACTCTATTGAAAATTAAGAATTAATGACAAATATGGAATAAATCAAATATGCTCAATGGTAAGGCGAATATGGAGAGAATAATAGGAAAAATGGATATTGGAGAGTTATTTGGAGAGGGAAGCCTTTGAGAAGAGTTGGCGGTTACTATCTGAATGGATTAAAGTAAGGAATTTGGAATGAATTAAATAAGAATTTTTGGATGTAAGTAAGAAAAAATTAAATTAATACATAGATTGGCTCAAATATAGGAAAGTGGATAATATTTTTAAGGTTAAAAAAATGGTGAATGGATATATTTTTTTGATGATAAGAAAATGTATTCGATATAAATAAACTGATTAGCGGAGGTGGATCATACAATTAGTCAGGCTAAAAAAATGGCAAATGGATAGAATTAGGGGATGTATTTTATAATCATTCATAAGTAACATATGAAGGAGAATATAAAAATGGAAAAAAAATTGGTTTATGGGATATATGGTTTAAAAAACATATTGTAGGTAAATAAAATTACATGATGTATATATTTAATAAAATGATTAGTGGTGGTGGATCATATGACTAAGAAGATTAAAATAAAATTGGGAAATGGATTGAGTTGAGCGATGGATTTTAGGAATTTTGTTAGGTAACTTGTTCTGGTGAATATAAAAATGGTAAAAGAGTTGGTTAATGGAGTATTTGGTATAAATATTGGGAAACAAATAATAATGAAGTAATGTAATATTATAATTAATCTATTTTTAGTGGTGGAGGTTTTTATGATGAAGAAGGTTCAATGAAAATTGGGAGATGGATTGAGTTAAGTGATGAGTTTAAATGTGATTTATAAATCACTATAAATGGTGAGTATAATAATGGTAAAAGAGTTGGGATATGGTAAAAAATAAATATTCAAAATAATAAAATATATAGCCAAATAAATTATGATAAATGAATAATAATAATAATTATTAATATTGGTTTGGTTGAAATTGAGTATTTTATGTTAGTGATAAATTTGATATGATTATTTATATTATTTAATCTTATTATACTATTTATGATAAAATTAGGTTCCAATTACTAGTTTAAAATAGTGCTTTTAGGTTTCTAAATATATTTGTAAATTATGGTTGATTGATTTTAAAGGGGATAATTAATAATTTAAAAAAAAAAATAATTATTGTTTTTTAATTATGTTTTTATTTTTTGTTCTAAAAACTAAAAAGATATTTATTATTAATTTCTTATTGTAATGACTTTTATTGAAAACTAGATTCATATTCATATATTTTAGGTGATTTAACATAAATACTTAATTAATTGTTTGACATTTACATATTTCCAATTAATAAAGTTATCTATATTATTTAATTTATATCATAATTTGTATTTTCTATCATGATTAATGGAATGTAATTATGCATTAATTAAGTAATATAATTAAAGGTTTATCAAGATTTCATTTAAGAATATTAATTTTGAGAATAATATTAGAGAACCATAATTTAAACATATTATAAGTGATCCAGTATAATTTATGTTTGTAGCTTTCAGAATGGGGTTTTTGAATAATTTAGTTTCTATTTTGAAATATTCTTGTACTCTTAATTAGGTTATTGTAAATCAGAAATTCCTTCATTTTGCCAAACAATTCTTAATTGTAAAAGGGATTAAATTTACTATATTCTGATCTAAACCATAATTCAAAATAAATTAGAGCGTAATAATAACATCAATCAATATATATAATTTTTGATGATATTAGTTGACTTTAAAAACTAATTTAGGAATAGTATTTTAAACTTATTTCTTTTCATTCATGATGACTTCTATTTCAAAAGGTTTCTGACTAAATTAGCTTATAAAATTCAAAATAAATTAATCATATAAAGATTTATTCCACTTATTTTATTTCTTCTATTATTCATAATAATAATAAATAGAAATTTTATACATCCTAATAATAATAATATTTATCTAAACTAATGAAATAAATTGTAAATTATATTGTTTATCGTATTTATTTTGATAATAATTTTAATTTAATCTATGATATCCCTAAGTTAATATTAATATGCAAATAATTAATTATAATGGGGTAATTAGAAATTTCGAAATAGCCTTGATATTAGATTTCAAATTTAGTTTATGATTTTAAATAATACATATTATAATATTTTATGCTTTATTGAAGATAAAAAAATAGTAAAAATTAAAAAAGAATATCATTTCAATATTAAATCAAAAATAAAGAAAGATTTCTAAATGAGTATTAAAAAATATCAATTGATTTTTCGTATATTTTATATATATTTATAAATTAAGAATAAA